CCTACTTGTACAAAATTTGAATACATACAAATTACCTGAGAAAAAAAATTATCGTAAAAAAAATTAAATAAAAAAGAACTACTTTCTCGGCCTTATAACTTCTTAAGGAAGCAAGATGGTACTAAGTTGACCTAAATCACCTTATTTTTGTCCAAGGAAACTAGCCTTAAAGTATGACCCATTCTTTAAGTATCACCCTGGATAACTACTTTCTGACACATTTGATATACAGGGTGTTCTAATAATTTGTGGGTACGTCTTAACCTTTGAATATAAAGAGGACTGGAAGGAGTATTTAAGTAAAGTGAATAATAAATAAAACATATACTAGTATTAGGTACTTATATTTGGAAATCTGATCAGTACAAGGCGAAGCTGTAGAATATGCTGTCAGTTAGTTATACAAGGTAATTTTTACGTAAATACATTTATAATAGAGGGGCGATATTTTAGGTAGTTTTAAGGAAAGAAAGTCCCTATGAACATATGTTCTAAATGGCTTCGTTTTTAAGAAATGAGTTTTTAAAATTATGAAAAAATACCCTATTTTGAAAACAACGTAGGACATATGTTTGTAGAACCTAAAAATGACCTATCACACTTTGAATCACCCCCTTTATTAATGGAATATTATAGATACAAATTAGAAAATTATGCATACCACTGTGTATTACAATGTCTTCCTCTATGATTGGTGGGGGAGTATATGTCAATTTTGACTCGACTTTCCTTTTTCCCGGAGCTCTCTGTAAAATCACTTCACTTTCAGAGGACGACGCTGCTGCATGCTTTTCTACCTGAAGTGCTTCCTCATAAGTATCTGAAAACACAATATAATTTAGGGGATTAAAATGTGTATGTAATTATATGTAATGTCTAAATCTGATTTGGTAAGCGTTAAATTTTATTATCATTTCTAAAAAATGTATTTGTTATACCTTACACCATGGTGACAAAAATAAGCAGATAATATGTCTGCCTAATCAAGTGAAAATTCAAAAATATGGGTGAAGACAATGGGTTCATTTATTACCTACCGTATTTTCCAAAAAATTTTTTAATTTCAAACAATGGCCAGTTTTCATCAGGTTTGACGCATTTTATTATTAAAGTTCGCTGATTCTTTGCTAATGTTTTGGGCCAAAATGACTTCCTAATCTGTTCATTCATCCAATTAACTGGTATTACAGATATTTCATTTTTTTCCTCAAACTGGATTACTGCATACTGAAATAATAATTAATTGATATTTCCGGTACAAAGTGGAACATTTACAGACACATATCTATAATAAAAGAATTGTGGCATAAAGCTAAAAAAAAGATTACAATTTTTTTGGTATCCTTCCTTAAAATTGTGTATTTTTAATTCTTACCTAATTTTTAATATGTAAGAGTGACAGAATAACATCATCAGTTTTCATAATTTTTTTCACAATATTAATTATTAGCGACTCTTTCTTAAGATCTCTTAAAGGACCCACGGCTCCACAATCAAATTTCAACGAAAGGCAAGGTACTTTATGAAGATGCTAAATTTTCGGGAATAGGATGCTTGTCTAGAATTAATGTGATTTCTTATTATTCTTCTAATATGTCTTCTTGAATATGCGCCATAAGGTTTCGTCAAACGATATAAAAAAAAGAGTAAATAGTGACCAATTATAGGTTAAGTATTATTACACATTATGTAATTTTGTTAAAATTTAACGAAACAATTTATGTGCATTATAAACGCCATTAAGTGCAAACTTGTAATGTCTAACTACTCCCGGCAAACGTTCAATATAACAAAACGAAGCCATATTTACAAAACTGAGGTTACAAATAATTAAGGATATTACAAAAAAATAATGTGCCAAACTAGAAATTAATACAAAAATAGGTGCTCACCTTACTATCCATTATTTTCAACGAAAGAATTAGTGCGTATGTAATAATTGTAATGTATTCCACCTCGAGTCGATACTGACATTCGATAGTCACGAACATCGAAGAATAAACAATAAACTGAGCGATGCAGTGTTGCCAACTGTGGATTAGCAATAAATACCAACTGGTACAAAAAAAATTACCAAAATATACTAAAACCTATTATGTACTTAATTTACAATTAGAAAAATATTGGAATCAGAGTTAATTTGAACTGTTATGGAGATACTACTATAAACTGTATAATACAATACATAAAAGATAAATTTTCAAAGAAAAACAAAAACTAAACATAAATATTAAAATCCAAATCTGCTTCCACATCAGACTTATACGCTTCCAACGTTTTAACTTTATCCATTAAACTATCAGGCAATTTGTAAGTTGCACAACACAGATTCTGTCTTTTAAGGCCTGATCTTATTGTTAAAATTGACGATAGCAGTTCAGGTGACATGCGATTCCTTATTTTAGTCTTTACTTTCATCATACTAAATAATCTCTCTACTTCTGCATTTGAATGTGGAATTACTCGCAATGAGATAGCAAAATTAGCTAATTGTCCAAATGAAGCACTATTTCCAGCATCTCTGTATTTTTTAACTTCACACCAAAAGTTTTTTGTGTTTTTTATATTTGTCCACGTTAACAGATGTATTTTATTCCACTGATATGATGATAGATGCAAGGAATTAGGAAATGATGGATGACGCAACAATAACGAAAAGATACGGAACATGGAACAACAATAGATGGAACAATGGAGCGCCAAAGAACTTTAAAATGGGATCAAAATTACAAGTGCCAAATTACTTTTGTTTTGATGTTTATTCATGATCAGGATCTGATCCAAGGAGATCTGTCCGGCAGAATTTTTATGATTTTACATAATAAGATAACAAGAGAATACTAGAACATATACTAATTTAAAATTAAAGATACTAAATAATATACTATATACTAAATTCAAATTTTCAATACTAAATGGGACGTTCAAAATACCAGATTTAGTATTAAATATACCTTCTTGGCAACACTGGATCGATGTCGAGTCGATAGTCATTAAAACTCTCTGTAATCTATGGTCACTAAACGCTAGACCACGTAAAACCACGATCTCTACGTCGAGTAGAGCGCAAGTCTTGATTGAGAGTGAAGTGAGTACGCTGTTTGAATAAATGATGTTTTTAACAATAGAAATTTAATATATTTTAAGAGTTACCAAAACGTATTTATGTTAATTTAGAAACGTATACTTAATGTTTTTGCGAAGTTAATAAAACCTTAAAAATTAAGGGAATGTCACAAAAAATATTTAGCTTAAGAACGTCATCTGTACGCCTTTGTTTCGTACAGAATAACATTACCTTTTATAAGTCACGAGGATGTTTTTAAAATGTTTATGAGAAGATTCTAATCATAATGAAGCAGAAATGATTTTTAAAAACGTCTTTGAAATATAATTTCGAGTTATGTTAAAATCCGACATTTTATTAACATAATTCAAATGTTTCATTACAAACATTACGTTATAACAAATATGTTCCTTTTTATTAACGTTTATGAAACATCCTTTTTATGTTGTTTGCTTAGTGGGTGCTTGCAATATTCCACTGTAAACTGATTATCTGCTATATTAACTAATTAAAAAAAAAGGTTATAACATTTTTATGAATTTTAAAACGTATTTTTTCATTTCCTCCCCTTGAACCACCTGCCCAAGAACACACTGTCATAAAATGCCTTGTGAAAAAATTATCCACTAAGGTGTAACGGACATTAAGCCCATACCATATATATATTTGCCAATATTTTACACAATTTTTCAGTATCAAACCTTTCTTCTGTAGTTGCAAATATATCACTGTTGTCTATAGTAATTATAGATGCGGAGTCACATGATGAAAAGGAGTCCTGCTGCGCTAATGACATTTGTTGTGGAACTTGAATTGTACTATTATGTATTTCTTCGTCTATAGTTGCTTGAGTTTGGGATTGAGGTACTACTTCTTTTTCCTATAATATTTTTTTTATTATTTCATTATAGTGGGTTTCATGTTGATATGTACTTACCAAACAAGACATATAGACCAGGCGGTATCTGTTTTGGTTTGGGTGAATCGTATATCCACGGAGATTTTTGGCTTTTTGGCTTCCAAATATTACTAGAAATGAAAATTTTTCTATGCGCATAAAAAAACATGGGCTTAACTTTTGACGGCACAATATGTAAAAAAAAATGGAAAAATGTCATATTTTTCTTCCTATTTAATTATGTATCTTTTTAAGAGTTGATTTTAGGCGAAAATGGAAGAGGAAAAAAATGTTTGTAATTAAATTTTTTACAA